CCAGACCGGCCAGGATCTAGTTATGGCAGGAGAAGGAATGCAGAGGCTCTTAATACCAGCAACTTTAAACAGCAGTCAGACCAGCCAACCAAATCAATTCCACCACTGCGACTTTATAGTTCTCATCTAGCATGAGTAGCAGCTAGGAATGGGGGATATGCCCCATTTAAAATAACAGAAAACACAACTACAAACTTTTCTAACTTAAAAAGGTGTCCACAGTGCCCCCATCCCTCTTCAGACAGAGCATTGCACAGAGGATTTGGAATCACCTTCATTGTCTGTGGAGGGTCAGATCCACTCTCTGAAGGAGACCATTTGATGGTTAGAGGTTTTGGATGTCGAATTAGTATTAAAAGAGGTGTATTGGACCAAAGGGAAGATGGGGATCAAGAACTCATTCGTCTATATTCCATAAATAATGCCATTTCTTTAAAATGTCACTTTTTTATTTAAACAGTTTTAAAAGAATTCAGTCAAAATGTATATACTTGTGTTTTGGCTGGGTAAACAGTTCTTGTTACTGTTAATGCATCTGAATTATGAAAATGTAACCTAATTTTATGATAAAGCCTACTGCCCTGAGATTTATTAAAAAAATAGAAGTGGCTAGGAAAACCCTTCATTTTACAAAAGTATAATCCTGCTTAGTGAGAGATGAATATTCTCTCTGAAGGGTAGTTCTCACACTTGTGACCTCCTTTTCAAGGGAGAATTCAGCCATATGTCTGCACTGTTCAGGGATCTATCCTGAACCTCACCCATTAGTCCCTGTATATTCACTGTCATTTTCTTTTAGATGGCAAGAAGAGGTACTGGCATGAGTACATAAGATTCTAAGAGTGTGTCTGATGATCTCAATATACATTAACACATTTTAAAATTATAAGCATGCAGTGCTCTGAACTAAAGCATTTTATATCTTGTCCACTGAATCGAAACATAGGTGATCTAAACACTGTTAAACACAGGTAAAGAAGGCTTAAATAAAATCAACACGCAATCACTGTCAAAATTCAATAGATTTATAATTATTTGTAAATTATTTTACAAATGTATATTCTTCTGCAAATTATAGAGCAGATAATACAAACTCACAAGAACTTCACCTGTCGGTAGCTCTTCTCAATATAACCAAACTAGTTTGTTTCAAACCGAAATATACTAAATAAAAAATGCGCACCCCCAGGAGATAAATATCTCAACAGTCCCATTCTAGTGGAATTTTAGTCTGTGCAATTTGTCAGTCATTATTTGTATTCAACATTGAAAAACAGAGCACTCTGTGATTCTCTATCTAGGAAATTATTTTTCTTCTATTAAATAATGTGAAAAATATTTTCCATATTCAATTTTAAGAAGATGACTAACATTTCTAAAATTCCATGGAGATGTTACATTTCGTGGTATAAATGTTAAATCTAACGTCATTGCACAGTAATGTAAATGCCACTAGATTACAAGGCCTTATGAGGCAAAATCTCCTGTGTATGTGCATCGACATGTACTATATGGGTATCGATTATGTTCTAATGTTACCTTAATCCTAGTGTCCCATGCAGTTTCTCACAATATGAAGTTTGTATGGTGATCTCCATTACTAAAACATTAATAATGAATACCTTGAAGAATAAAATGTACTGGAGATCCGGCCCATGTGCTTCTTATCAGATGTAGTAGGCCTTTAATGGAAAGGTAAAGGTGCATGTGCAGGGTACCACCCTCCCCCAATTGCATAGTCTGAGGCTAATCCGAGCTGGGGGAGATCACTCTGAAAATACCTACAAACTATTCACAACTTATAAGCTGCATTAATAATCATAATACAATGTCAAGCATCGTTATACCAGTGGTTCTTAACCTGGAGGGCATGCACCCCCTGGGGTGCCCATTCTGGGGGTGCTAGACAGGCCAGATGTTTTTAGAAGGTAAATCATTGCAAACACGAATTAAACACAGGTACAGTATGTACAGTAAGTACTGTATAGCTACTGTACTTTGTTTCATCAAACCTAGACATTTTAAGATAAATTGAATTAAGTGTGTGGTTTTTCATGTATTCTTAATTTTACTGTGAAATTAAATAAATGAGTCTATCTCTTTCATTTTATAGTTATAAACTACTAGAACTAAACTTAAACAGTTACAGATACGAGGTGTGAGAACATATGCAGGGGTGCAGGTGCAGTAAAGGCTAAGACCCATTGCTATAGGCTCTTTAATGCAAACCTAAATGCAAACTAACTGCACTGTGTTGAAATAAATTGATATTGAGTGCAGACTCTTTGGGAAAAGACAGCCTGCTGCCCTGTTTGCACCATATAAAACAACCACCCGCTGGCAGTTGACTGGCAAGTACAGAGATCTTTAGAGTGATTCATACGCCGTGCTTTACTACAGGGAAACATAGGTTAAAACCTAAAAACATCCATTCATACAAGACTCCTACTCTCTTTGTCATAAAAGCAAGAAAACAAAATATTTTTTTCCCTGGAGTTGATAATAAAATTATTGTAGCCCACAAGATAGAACTCCAGGCAGATGTATGATTGACTAGGCAGGAGGAAATTTTTGTTTGAAACCTACATCAATGGCTTCAAAATTTGTAATGTGTTTATCTTTGTTTGAGTTTAATTTACTTAGTATACCCTACCTGTCACGCCCTCTGCCTACCACATTCTCACCTGGAAACGCACCTGCACTAATTACACTCCAACTCTGAGCACTTCTGCCAAACGACACCACTCCTGCAAATCAGCCAACCACGACACTCCATCAATCAACGCACCTTCTTCCTCGCACAATACTTAAAACATCTGCTCTTTGCCTGGTATTGGTCTTTCTTCGGAGCTTCTACCTCGCCTTTGTTTCTGTATTCTACTCTCTCCTCGTAACGAGCCTCGGAAGTTTCCCTCGACCACGTCTACTGTCTTGCCCTTTTCAATTAGAAGCCTTCTCGTTAACCTACACTTTTTGAATCACAGAACTGCCTTTTGACTATGCCTTCTGGATTGGACACCTACTCGCCTACCTTTTGTTACTCGACTCAGACCTCGCCTCTCGCCAAGCTCTCATTCCCTCTGGGAACTTCACCCTCATCTCTAGACCGCCTAAGGTACCGCATAGGGTTCATCTTCCTGTTTGCTCAGCAGGTCGTTTGTGACATTACCGACAACAGCAAGAACAAATATGCTGGATTTTCTCTAACTGAAACTACAATTTTCTAAAAACTGCCCTCTCTGAGTAAATCCATGAACTGTCACAGCAGGAAACAGATTTTCTGCTTGTACTGCTTCCAGAAATCCAAGGAGTGTCTTGAATTCGTCTACACACTGTCACATTGCCAGCACTACAGTTCTCAATGGGCAAGGATATGTGGATTCAAGAATAGGGAAATGAGACAGTGAACTGATTCATTTGTCAATAAAGATCAATTGTTTGTTGACAACTTTAGAGTTACCGTGTGGGTGCCAACAGCATGTATGTTCCAGTGACACTTAACATTTTAGCACCATGGACAGCCACCAATCAATTTCACAGAGCAACTGTGCAGATACATGTCTAATGATCCTAACTGAACTGTGTTGCCTGAAAGGAAACTGATTTGCCATCCAGAACAGGAAGAAAAATATATTGAGTGTGAACGCATGCTGCATTGTAATTCCCCTGTGTCTATACATATAAAAAACGATAATACATTTATGGCTCTTCAATCAGAAATATGGGTAAGTTACTTGAGGAGACATTCAAAGTTCTAAGTTGTTGAAAACAACACAAATGGATTACTGTATATTTCAAACACAGGACAGAATGCAGAAACAAGTAAATCATCAGTCTGAATAAGAAAGCTGAAAGTCAGTAACACTGGAGCTTTTTAACTTAACTGGAACAGAATCCCTGTCAGCACAATAGTCCTCCAAAACATACTGTAATTCACTGTGGTGTGTTCCATATCAATGTACAGTATAGGCTATACAATTTTTTGTTTGTTTTTAAAATCAACTATCATTAAATTTCTGCATTAATTATTTTAAATAATATAAAAAACAACTAAGCAGAAATGCAGATTTTTCCTATGTACTGTATTGTTCTTCATCACACACTAAGAAATAGAGAAAAATATTAGAATACCTTAACTGTACAGAGCTAAAGGTATTAGGAGGGGAAAAAAATGAATGGCACGTTCACACCATCATTGATTTGCAAATAATATAATTGAATGTTTATTAACTAATATACTTTGAATATATTGGAAACAATACAGTACATTTTATTTTATTCTAATATTAAGTAATTTGGGAAAGCCTTCTCAATCAACATGTTTTTTTTTTAAATATATTTCATTCCTGTCTTGCTCGGCATTCCATACAGAATGTGTCCTGTACGTTTTTCCTTATTAGCGTTCAGGAAAGCGTACCGTCACGTTCTCATTTACAAGAGCACCAGTACTAAAGATTTAAGGTGCGCAGTAACAAATATCACTATTGTCACAAATGCGAGATGTACATTTTGAAAAGAAAATGGATGTTAGCGCTCGATTATAGAACAATCAACAGGATCTTCACTGATACTTAGACTCCTTCTGTCTGACGAGGGATGAAGTTCTGCCAAATGAAAAATGTCCTGATCTTTGGTTTTGCTCAAGCGCTAGCACAGGAAAGGATAAGCAAACAAGTGAAGATTCTGAATCACAAGAAAGCAATTAGGGCACATGAGCAAAAAGGCGCAAAAACATTAAATGGGAATCCACTGAATTGTAAATAAATTGTAAATACAAATAGGAAAATAACGGACCATGTACTGTATAATTGCCCTTTTGGAAATTACTGTAGGTTTTTTAACATTAGAGATACATACAGTAGGAGCTATTATTGTGAGTGGTCACTGCAGCAAATTGCCATTTTAAAGCAGTTCCCATACATATATTTTAATAGTTTTGTCTGTATATTCAAAGGGGTCACGTCTGGAGGGTGGTGACTGAAGGGAGTACCGGTGACGCGCGTCTCGGTCCTGTGTTTGTGTCTGTTTGGGTGCCGATTGGGCAAAAGGGAGAAGAGTGCCAAGCATTTGCACGCCGTGGGCGGGAATTGGGATGTTCATAAACCCCGGTGTGCGAGCCGTGGGCGGGAACACTAGGCTGAGAAACTGAAGACTGAGAAGGGGAGAGAGAAGAGGAGAGAGGACGCGGTGGCTGTGCAGCGGCGGTGGTGGCGGTGGCTCACCGGAGCTTGTAGGAGGAGGCGCGGCTTCCCCTGCCCCTCCAACACAGCACCTGTATGGACGACCACCGCAGCCTCCTTCACTCGCCTCCGCCTTCGTCTGCCAAGCACAGAAAGAACAACATTGTTAACCCTGGCTACACTGACACCGAGCAAGACATCATGACAGTAGTCGCTTGTGACAACATGTTGGAGGAGACGGCAGCTCTCCCTGGACACCATTCCTTGGATCGCTACGAGCCTGATCATGAGTGCTGCGAGCGAGTGGTCATCAACATTTCTGGGCTACGGTTCGAGACGCAGCTCAAAACTCTCTCCCAGTTCCCAGAGACTTTGCTTGGGGATCCCAAAAAGAGAATGCGCTACTTTGATCCTCTAAGGAACGAATACTTCTTCGACAGAAACCGTCCCAGTTTTGATGCCATTCTTTATTACTATCAATCAGGGGGACGCATCAGGAGGCCGGTCAATGTCCCCATTGACATCTTTTCCGAGGAGATCAGGTTTTATGAACTCGGGGAGGAAGCGATGGAGAAATTCAGAGAAGACGAAGGGTTTATCAAAGAGGAAGAGAGACCTTTACCAACTAATGAATTTCAGAGGCAGGTGTGGCTATTGTTTGAGTACCCCGAGAGCTCAGGACCAGCCCGGGGCATTGCTATTGTATCTGTGTTGGTTATTTTAATTTCAATTGTTATATTTTGTCTTGAAACACTGCCCGAATTCCGGGATGAGAAAGAGTACCAGAGTCCTATAGCACCTGTTATCAATGGAACAAGCCCTTACCTGTCTAGTACTTTCACGGACCCTTTCTTTGTCGTGGAGACGCTGTGCATAATTTGGTTCTCATTTGAACTGCTGGTCAGATTCTTTGCCTGTCCTAGCAAAGCCACGTTCTCTAAAAACATCATGAACATTATCGACATTGTGGCCATCATCCCCTACTTTATCACACTCGGGACTGAACTGGCGGAAAGACAGGGGAACGGGCAGCAGGCAATGTCCTTGGCTATCTTGAGAGTAATCAGACTAGTCCGTGTTTTTCGCATCTTCAAGCTTTCCAGACACTCCAAAGGACTCCAAATTTTAGGACAGACCCTGAAAGCCAGCATGAGAGAGCTAGGTCTATTAATTTTCTTCCTTTTTATCGGGGTCATTCTCTTCTCCAGCGCTGTCTACTTTGCAGAAGCAGACGATCCCTCCTCTGGTTTTAGCAGCATCCCTGATGCTTTCTGGTGGGCTGTAGTCACCATGACAACAGTCGGCTATGGAGACATGCACCCTGTTACCATAGGTGGTAAAATCGTCGGGTCCTTGTGTGCAATCGCTGGCGTGTTAACCATAGCCTTGCCTGTCCCGGTCATCGTGTCTAATTTTAACTACTTTTACCACCGGGAAACTGAAGGAGAAGAACAGGCACAGTATCTGCATGTTGGCAGCTGTCAGCACTTAACATCAACGGAGGAGCTGAAAAAGACACGCAGCTCCTCTTCACTCAGCAAATCGGAATACATGGTTATAGAAGAAGGCATCACCAGTGCTTTCAAACAACCCAACTTCAAAAGTAGCAACTGCACTCAAAACAACCAGAACTGCGTGAATATCAAAAAGATTTTCACAGATGTGTAAAACACAAAGTGATTACTACTGCTTCTTCTACTAATCGTAACGTGTCAGTGCAAGTCTGTTGTGTGGAGGCGACGTTATAGGTATCTAATTGTGTCCTGTTAAGTCAGTGAGTATCCGAGTCCATTCGCAATAGAATAAAAGCAGCACTCGAGGTATTTGCTAGTCCATCACAAGCTCCGTGTTCTGCTTTTTTATCTCGTGGAATATAATACAGGTCATGAGGTTTTTCGTGAACAGCTCTTGTTTCGTTCTCGTTTGTCAACTGACAGAGGCGATGTATGCTTCCTTTGTTAATTCCAACCGTAACCTATAATTTAATAAGTCTGTGAAAATTCATTTTTGTAAATAATAATAATAACAATAATAATCGCAACACAAAAAAGTAAAACTTACTTTAAGGGATAGTTTATTGGCAAAACATGAATGTGAAGGATTTAAAAAAAAACATTTATTATTGTGCTGAAGTTATTTTTTACCAAAACTAGAAAAACAGTATATATATATATTAAGATGAACTAAATTACGATACTAGCTGTCTAGCGGATAATAAAAGGGAGCAAATCAACTTCAAATTAATCATTTTTTTATTTATTCGTGTTGCCTCATTGACGTACGCACTACTAATTGTTTATACTTGAATTATATATACGTGTCCCACCGTTTCGTGGATAATGAAGAAGCAATGGAACAAAGGAAACCTAAGCACAAACTACTGGAAAAGCTGTCGTTTTGGACTGCTGTCATCTTAGGTGCAAGACCTAAAAATCAAAAGAAAAGGCACGCCTTCTAGTGGATGCTACTAATTCTGCCTGGAGTGATGCAGTTTCCATAGCAACCACAGTTTCCTGGGTAACCCCTGCTAATGTTGCCATGGTATCCCATTCTGTTTCCTCAGTAACCTTCCAGATGGTTCTAAAGCCTGCAATATAAAAGAAGAAAGCAGATGAATAGATAAAACACAGAATTTTAATCCCAGAGGGACATCCGTTATACTGTGAAAAACTAATGAATACATTTATATTTTATAAATGCACTCAAATAAGTAGGCATACTTGGCCAAAATTACTTTGAATAATAATTATAATAATCACTTTATCAGATATAAAGATTTTTACTTACAAAACTAAAATCTTAAAAATGCCAAAAATGCACAAACATTCAAATGATAAAAGTATACAAATAATGTGTCTGTTTTAATCTGATGACTGGATTACTTGCATTGCCATATGGATGATTGTGGATTGCAATATCCTTCAGAGGTCAGGACTGGAATGTCATACTTGTGATGGTAAATGGCTTTTTACTGCCAGAGGAAGAACAGCATCATACAGTATGTCCTGAGCAGGACTGTAAACATAAGAAGCACACAGGGAATGGGATGCCAGAGATTTAGGATAACATTCAAATAATCTGAGTTGGAGAAAAAATAAAAGAAGGAACAAAGCTTGAACAGACACAAATACGCACACAAATGGAAATTAAAACTCAAAGTTGTAGTTCTAAGGACCAAGAAGAAGAAAGAAGATGGATAATTGTTAATGGGGAGACACCAGCTTGTGTACTTTGCACCATGTATTCACAGGGACTTCTCTACATTTTCAAATAGGAGAGGTGGGTACAAGCCGTGAAAGAGTCTTGACTGACTCTTGCTTACATCATGCCAAATAAATCAATGCCACTCATCTATTATTTCTATTAAACCAGGGGAGAGAGTAAGAGGAGCCAGTCAGCCAGAAAGCTATTGATAAAAATTGCAGTTATCCCCACTTTGGGAAGGAAGTAGTAAAAATTAGCTGCTCTTACAGGGTGTACAGAAAAGGTCATGTTTATTCCTGAGCTGGTCTGGAAGATTTAAGTTCCTTTTCAAGAGGTTCCAGTACTTATTTATTCTTTTTCTATTGCAAATAACAAATACATACAGTATATAACAATAACCCAAATACAGGGGAGGAGAAGAGATTTTTTCCTGGCCAAAGGAAGAAACATATCTGTACAATTTTTATATTAAAGCGTAAAAATAAGTAATCAACCTCCAGTGAGTGAAGACGTGTATGCACGCAGCACAGGTGATACATGCAGTCTAGTGCTGCCATATAAACATTAGCAGACTCCAAAATTGTGGATTCACTCGGTACTCTTATACTCCCTTTGTCCTCCAATATCCTCTGCACATTGAAAGAGTTTTTTTTTCCTTTCAATACATAGGAAATCCCAAGCACAAATCTGACAGTTGAAGGTATCCACTTTTTGTCTTAAGGTCCATTTTATATTGGTTCTTATTAACATGTCTTCACTTTGTTGTATTCTTTTTAGATGTGAGCTGCTGTGGTTTTAACAGTTATCCCATTAAGTGTTTAGTTAAATTAACATTAAAATTCAGTACGTTTGTAGACATGGGTTAAGCAGCTGAATATTTTGCCTTGACTTCTAAAAACTTAGTCAAGCAGTTGTTCCAGATGTCTATAAACGTCTATAGCAATGCCTCCAGCATAAGCCGTAGAAAAGAAGCGCTCAGAGCCTCCATTCATGGAAAGATTGCAGATTTATAATTTATTGATGTGTAGCACACAGAGAATGATGTGTTTGCAGATCAAACTAAATTTGATTTATCTATAGCTGAGTGCTGAACTCTGCTTCAAATTGTTTTACTGCACATGGTTCCTTGTCATACAGTTTCTAAAACCGAGAATCTGTTTAACATTGGCTTCCAACCAGGAAATGACATGAAAGCACCCGTGACCTCAGGCTATTATAATTTCCTTCTGACAGATTTAATTTAGGTTTCTCTCCAGTGAATTTGCCCTTTTTTGTACAACAGCACTTAAACAAACAGGAAACGCAAGATGAACGGAATTGCAGCAGACTAAACGCCGTTTAGACACTAATGCCTAAGTACTCTCAAAAAGGTAGACCAAAAGTTTTAGTAACTTTTCTTTACATACAGTCCTTCTGCATTTTTGTAAAAGTACGATGCCTGTTAATTTCATTTGGCATAATTCTATGTATAACATACTGTGCGTAATACAATAATTTTTATTTGTCCTATCAATTAGACAAGAAAAATTAGAATTGCAGCCTGTGTCCAAAAGTTTTCGAGTATTCTAGAAAAAAAATTAAAACATCCATTTGAAGTCAATTATATGTAGGTGTCCAGCTATCCCTGCATTGTCTACATTTTCTTGCAAGTACTATTACCAGAATTAGAAGATATTGTGTTTTGAAACTGTGGAGTTAGGATTTTTTGCTATAGAGACTGACAGTGTTATAACGATAAAGAATGCACACATCGCCTGTTGTTCTGCAGTTCTACTTCACACTGGGTTTAGATCCAAAGTTTTGTGGTAAATTGCTTAGCTACAAAATTAAAAATGTCTTATTTCTTTCAGTAATTAAAGGTACTGTAACTGAACAGTCAAATGACTCACTTTGGTTACAATAAGAATCAAATTGTACGTGTCAGCTCGCTCTGTCCTACATAGAATATTTTTTATATTTTAATTTATTATTTTAAATTTTTGTCCTCTTAATGTTATGCAAACTTTGTTGAAAATTAATAAAAATCAAGAACTTACAGGAAATATATATATATTTATTATTTAAGTATATAATACATCTTGTTTTTAATAAAGCAGGCGTTCTGTTTTGATTAATTCACCATTTTGGCTCATCTCTGCCAAGATTAATATATATATGCTGTATATGTAATGATGACTCTGGCCTGTAGGATGATTCGTGTATTTTTTCTGGATAAGGCTCACCTGTAAAGCAGTTGAGACAGCTTTACCATAACCCAAAATAACTTCTCTCTTGCCTTAGTTAGGTGCCTGACCTTTATTCCTGATATTGCCACAAGGCTTTAAAATAAACAAGACTCATGTGCATGCTGGCAGGTTATTTTGATTACAGATGCTCACACATTTCATTAGTAGACATTCCTCTAATGAACTTAGAGGTTCGTTGTCATGTGGAAAGCTGGTGGCTTGTTCACATTCCATCATGTGCCGTTCCCGTCAGACTGTGTGAGCAATAATAGGCTTGTCACTTGCGCTGGACCCCTCCTTTATGCAAGTACTGAAACGAGACAAGAATCCATCACCCAGTTTAAAAAAAAATGCACTGCAATGATTCAGCAAAGAATCCTTTACTGTGTCGTGCAAGCTGAATATAGACTGGACTGTCACTGATTCCAACAGTTCAGGAATTCCAATGCTGAAATTCCTTTGCCTTATGTGTGCAGCTATGTGGCACAATTTAAAAGCCAGTGATTTTAACCCCATGTTTATTAAGGATGCATTCAGTGTTGCGCTGCCAGCTAGATTAAAGACAGAAACATATTCCATGATGTCACTTCTCTGCAGTGCTGCTGTTCTGTCAGTTCAATGTAGGAATTGATAATGAAGTTCACATAAAGATGAAATATTACCTTATCTATGGCATTGGAGAGGAAAAACCTTCTACAATAGTTTATAATAACTATATGGTCAATCTTTTATAATCACATTGTATCCTGATCTTGAATTTCTGAATGTCAAAATAATCCAAAGCACCCATAATTTAAAGTATTACAGTCAGTGATTATACAGTATCAAGACATTAGTTGCATTTTAACGCCTGTTTTGTACTTTTAAGCAGAGAGAGGTTATAGATATATTGACAATTATATATGAATGCATATTTATCTCCTTATCGTTAGTAAATTTCACTATGCACCAAAATGTTAAATATAACTGATATACAGAGAATATAAATAATTGTAATTCTATGATGTGATAGTCATTATTTTTTTCTTTCTTCAATATAACATACAGGAGAAACACTATTGATAAAATTATTTACATATACATCGAATTTACATAACTGTGACATAAAATCAAGTAGCACGTGCATTGTATGCAGTATATATAATGCATATTTTCTAGCGCTTTTTTTTCTTTTCTGATCTCATTTTCCAATATCCTTGAGGTGACATTGGTGACAGACACATCCAGTTCTGCCCTCTAGTGGTAGCAGTGGAAAGTTATTTTGAGAGTGCATGACAGTACAATAATCACGAAATGAAATTAATAGTTTAGCAGTATTATGAATTGGTTAACTGATTTATAGATTCATTAAAAGTTAGTACAAGGTAATGAACAGTGGATAATTCCAAGAAATGCCCTAATTTACAGGTTTAATCGTTATGTAAGCTACATGCCAGGTAATTATTATACTGTTTTTTTGAACTCATAAGATCCAATCAATTTTTTGGTAAAACCATAATTTTGTATTGTAAAGAATTTGATTTTCCTAGTTTGTGGGTCTTGCATGAAGAGAAGGAATTATACATTATTATAATACTTTGTAAATGGTGAACAGAATGTGATGTAGCAAACTAAATATTATCATCTGTAACTCCATAGAACTACTGTACAGTACAGTATATAGCAGATTTACAGTTGTCTTATAAACCATGTTCGATAACCCAGCTTTTGCTTTCCTGCCTGTCTCACAAGTTTATTACCATTGAGGAGACTGGATTTGCTGTTAACGCCATTGCTGAATGGTCACTGTATACCAATTGTCCCGTAATGATGAAGCCTGATCCCAAGCCTATACAGCCGAGTACCAACCACAAGTGTGTGGTGTATTAACATTAATGTAATACAATTTACTTTAGTTTAGAGATAATTTGTAATTCATGTACTTGGATTAAGAACTGGTTAGTAGAAAGAAAACAGGGAAATTGGGGTGATGTAATTTGTGAAGTACCTCAGAGATCTCAGTTAGGCCCAGTTCCATATTTTCATCAAAGATTCTAGTTGGAAGCCAGAAGGGCATGCATGCAAAAAAAAAGACAAATATATAAAGGGAAACACTCGAGAGAAAGGGCTGCTTATGAAAAAGACATAAATGTTGCTGTTGACACCTGATTTACATCTTCTAGATAATGTGCTTAAGCAATATCAAAGGGAGAGAGAATGTTAGGATATATAGTGTAATTAAACATTCAAATCAAGAGATGTTGTGGTACAGATATAGAATGCCCCATTGAGACCTCAGTTAGAATACTGAGCACAATTTCAGCCACCCAAACACAACAAAGATATGGCTGCTCTGGAATCAGTCCAGGGAAGAGCGACCAGAAACATTCCCAGGCTCAAAGGAATGTCCTGCTCTGACAGGCCAAAAGAAGTAAACCTCTTTTTTTAATATTGAACAGAGTAGGGTTTGATGGGACCTCATTTAAGTATTCAAAATCCTTAAAGTCACTGGTAAAATTAATTGTATTGACTTCTTCAAAATCAACAGTGGATCATGAACTAGAGGGGAAAAGTGGAAAATACCCAGAAGCGCAATTAAAGCTGAGAACAGGATAGCTCTTCACGCAAAATGTTGTGGGAGGATGGGGAAATCTGCCAAGCGATGTTGTTGAAGTGAATACCCTGTATTCTTTCAAGAAACAGCTTGATTAATTGATCCTTGACTCGCTTAGCATCCAAAAAAAACCCAACTAAACTAAATTGACAATATAACAAATGTCTTTGTTTGTAATGACTCTTATAATTTATAGTCTGGTCTGTGCCAATTTTTAGCCATTTCATATTTATTTTGTAAATCTTAGGGCTAAAGATATCTTTTCTGCTCTTGCTGGTGGAAAAACTCTTGGTAACAACATATCTTTCACATATTTAAAAGAAATCTCTTCAGATTTGGAATTGGCAATCGTATTTTCTGTTTTTCTTCTCTTCCAGCGATCTGAGCAAAAGGTTGTTAATGATGTACCTTATCACTGCTATACAGGGAAAATCAGGATATGAGCACACATTCCTCCAAAACACCCACCTGTCAGATTCATTCATCGTTTGACATGCTGTGAACTCCAAATGCCGTTGTAGGAGAGTGAGCAATGATTGGAGAGATGATGCGTCTCTTACTGACAGCACTGAAGTTTGTAGTTCTATGGCAAGCCAAGCTCTCCTAAGGAGTAGTAATCAATTAGTTGTGCCCACTACTTGAGCAATGTCAGTCACCATTGTCACCATTGATTAAAAACAAAGGCCTAAGCAATCAAAATTTTCAAACATTTGGTAAGATCATGTGTAAGCAGTGTCTTTCCATCAATTCAATTCAATTTTCATATAGCGCCTTTCACAACAAGGTTGTCCCAAGGCGCTTAACAATGCAGATAACCATACATTTTGTGAATACAGAACAGAAAAGACCAGAAGAAGATTAATTAAGAATTAATTAATTTAAGAAGATTAAAAGATTAATGAGGAAAGCACCCATGTTCTATGACTTATTCCCACGTCTCTTTGATACTCTAGGAAAGTTTGTCGACCGGATGGGTGTCTGTTCTTGGGAGCCCCATGCTGACAGACCATGGGGTGCTGCTTTCACTCAGAAACAGAAGCGTTGTGGGCAAGGTAATGAAAGCACAGCTTTTTATTTCAATTCAGAAATTCTGTGTATTGATGCAGAAAAGCTGTTGGCCCTTTCAAAGCTGATCAATTATTTTTGATGGTGTGTTTTTTGTGTGCGAAATTTTGCAATGAACCTTGTACAAACAATTTCCTTTTTTTTAATTGGAAGGGAACTACAGTATGTACAGTAGAACCTTTGGGAATGCTTTACAGGAAACACTGCTGTAACAATGGCATGATGGTTCAGATTTGTATGCGTTTAAAACCTGCAGTATATGCACAGTGTCCTTAACCTATATTAAGCCACACCTCTGCTTTTTTAAGAAAAACGGGAAACGGGAAATCTAAATTTTTCTAGGCACGAGGAGTTATATTTATATAATAATATACAGTATATATGATATATAGTTATATATTACATAATTCAAAGTATTCATATGTTTGAATATTAAGATGGATAGAGGAATTTCTTTAAAAATTGAAGTGAAATGTAATCGAAAATGTAAATGATGATCAATTAATCCCGTGACCTTTTTGGATAAAGTGGTTGGAAGATGGATGAATGATCACTTAATTTATGGTGAGAATTAAATATACTGTACACTAAGTTACATTTATTTGTGCAGATATTTAGGAAATCTGAAATACTGGATATTACTGTGAATGTTTCTAAAAAAGTACTGTAGCCTGGGACCGTTTTTTAATTAACACATGTCCCTGCTGTCACTGACCTATAGTAAAAGAATCTGAATAATAATTGTATTCTGAATCTAGGACATTTCGCTTTTCTTAGTTAGCATCATAGGCCATTTTGGGTGACCGCAGGTGGTTCTTTTCCGCTTTTAAAAGAAAATAATGCATTTCCACACAGCTCCTTCAGAAAACACCCATCTACCTCATGTTCCATAAAATAACTGAGGTTATGTCTTTGAGGCAGCACAGCTGATTCTGGAAATTCCAAAAGGCAACAATGTTTTTCTGTCCTTTTATACAGTGTATTGTGAAAGATGTACTGGGATTTTGTTTGGATCTCAGTCAAATTCTGCCACTGCAGCAGTAGGATTAAGACTGCAGTAGACTTCTTCAGTGCTCCCTCTCGATGGCAGAAAAAGCACCACTGCACAGCAAGGACACTTGATAAGTGGTGATATCTGCATGCTAAATTAAGCCACTCATTATACAGTATCTGCAGTATGGAGAATTGGGTAAACCTGGCAAAAATTGAATTGAATGCAAAATAGCTACAGTATGGTCTGAATTAAGCAGGTGTTCATTAAAATGTAATGAAATGTAATAAATGTCCATTTTATATACAGTAATATTTTAAATAAGAAACATTCTTAAAAGAATTTATAGGAAATGTTATGCAAATACCACTGCACTTTATCCAAATTAGTATGCACAACTGTATTTGCCCTTTACATTCACATTCCATGTAATGAAAACATTAAGGCAAGGATTCACGAGAATAAATGTACAGTATAGTTTTGAAAGTGCTAAGTACATTTATAGGTTCAGAACAGTTATGTTTTTTTTTCATTAAAAGAGAAGAAATTGATCAGAAAGTTACTAATATCTAATAAGTTGGTTAGGCAGGATGGATTTTCTCTGTTGCAACCTTTCAAATGATCTTTTTAAACTTTTTTGTCCTTCTTAAAAGACAGACTGAATCTAAGAGTGGTCAAGAGCCAGGGCCTGTTTTATGAATCTGGTAATCTCAAGCAAAGGAACATAAATGTAAAAAAATATTTTACAAATTCTGATGGTTCCATAAATTTCTATGGTGATTTGCACTGCAGTCTAACAGATCTTGGGTCCTTTGGTGTGTTTCTGGAATCACCAGATCATCTGTTTTATTTTCAACTTTTGTCTTTTTTAAGTAAATGAAGAGGGTGTCTAGAAACAGTCATCAGTTCTGGCATTTTCAATTATTTTTTCTGGAATGTGTGCCAATTATGTGAACTGTAAAATACTGTACAGTACCTAACAAACCTATGCAGAAATGGTATAGTTAAGTTGCTGTGGTGATGAGCACTGCAATCTTGGGTCCTTGGTGTGTTTCTGGAATAGGCTGACTTCTGTGGGGAGTTTGCATGCACTCCCTGTGTTTCTTTGAAGTTATGCCTGGTGCTTCCTCCCAACTTCCAATGACAATGCTATCTGGGTTAAATGGTGTCTGTAACTTGTTTTCGTATGTTTCCCCCATCGTGAGCTCTATACTTCCAGGAAAGTTCCAGGTTACTATGATCTTCAGGAATAAGCAGTTTTCTCAGAACAGGGAGATGGATGGATGTTTGACGACTGAATTGAACACTTTTTGTATTTTTTATGAATATACGTCAGTTACTTTTTTCCCAAATGCGTGCCAATTATGTGCCTATAAAATACTATACAGTATATAACTCAACTATGCAGAAAGTGCAGGAAAGTGGCAAAGCGTAGGATATGGACGTGCAGGATAAAAGTGTTGAAATGTTGAAATGCAATGTATTCGTAATCAACTATCTAGCATTTTTGTAAAGATTGAGCAGGCTTTGTGGAAGATGTTTTTTCTTTTCACTGATATTAACATTTATTTCAGCACAATATGTTGCATATCCCAATGCACTGTTAATGTGCCAGGAAACGAAGAATGAATCTAATCTTGATGCAGTCATTACATCCTGAATCCTTTTTTAATTAAATAAGTATTGGCATTAGTCACTGCACAGGGGGAATAATGAATAGTGTTTGTTTTGTCTGTTGTCCAATTCAGATAGACAGCAAAACAGACTAGATAGACTAGATTCTATACATAAAGACTCTATACATAAAGAGGACTCCATTGAATGGTTTTGACAGCCTGTTGGGGATTTTGCTTTTTTGTCACAATATACTGTAGCATGCAAGTAGATCCATGTCTTCAGTTGCATCTTAAGTTTGCAATATTTCTCGAAATATCTGGCCACAATTTCAGTGTATGAATATTTTCTTTAAAAATTTGAAATATTTCTCAAATGGGCAATTTTTCAGTCATTAATTTAATCAATTAAAGCCATAAACAAGCATCAAGAAGGACATCAATGACAGTTTAAAACAATTTCTAATTTTTGGCAGCTGCATATTTTGTTTCTTTGGGATTTAGGGTTTCGGTCAGCCTCTTGGCATCTAACCACGAGTCCATCCAGCGCTGAGAATCTATAGAATGTTTTTCTCTTCACGTTGTGCAGTTCTGCATAGATGGCTGTCCTGGCCTGAGTAAATAAGGTCCAGCTCAGAATTGCTGGCTCCTGACTTTAATCAGAACGGAAAGGAAGAAGCCTGCACTCTGTTCCCTGATTCTGCACGCAAATCTCTTGGTGTCTTAACAGTTTCTGTGTTATGCTTGACATCCCCTCTGCATTCTTTTGCAGGGCTGGAACCAACCCGACTGCATTGAATCCGAACAGGTGCAACCCTGCCTCTCTCTCTATCTTCCACGCCACGCTTGTCAGAGCCTCTCTCGTCTCTCGAGCGAGGGAAAACACCAATCTATCTCCTCCATCCCTAGCTAGAGAGACAAGGTGCCTTCAGCAACGGATGTTGACAGCCTTCTTCTTGCAGTGCCTATTATTGGCACTGACATGCTCACCGTTTTCTCTGAACCTGATTCACCATAATCTAGTGTTAAAGGAATAGTTTTAAAGATCGCCAGAATTCAGGTCACTTGTTTGTAATCACACAGACTTGTACTGATGCTGCTACTGCTGCGAAGAAACCTAGAAGTGCTTAGAAAGAGCCCAAATGAATGCTGCCCAAAATTAAGGGACATGGGGGTCATGCTTGTTCCATTCACATTTATAGTTGTGGCACACTGTCCTAAACAAATGTGAATATATGAACTTAAGCTATAATAGTCTTTGCTTTTTTATTTGTATTTTTCGATGTGAACTGCAGTTTAGCTCTGTTTGCAAAATTGAATGAAGTGGTAGCAGATATGCAGACAGAGGAACTAATGGTTGGTGGAGGGCAGTATGATGGATTGCAGTGTGGTTGCTCCCATAATTACCATGACTGTTCTATACAAAATAAAAGTGCTATTAGAGATTGTCTGTTGTGAAATTTTGTGGTGTCCTGGGAGCAATCCCTGAGTTCTCAAATAATTCAAAGAAACATTTTTTTAATACTGTAGGTAAACACATACACACCTTTATTTTCATTTAACTCCGGTAGCAACAATACAAAAAGTCAGATAAACTTTAGGAGCGAAAAAAAGAAAAAGATATTAGGCCTCCAGAATGGTGGGCTCTGCAAGAGAAAGACTATGCTCAAGAAAAAAATTGCAGAAACATTTTCTATTTACCCTATATTTATTCACTTACAATAAAACTTTCAAAATGTATCGTTTATCTGTACAGGACCTGCAAGCAATTCCTGCCATTCCAATGTTCCGGTAGGAATGTCAGCAGAAACCTTCATTACTAAGAAGTCACAAAGCTACTATACTAAGTGGCTACTGTTTGTCAACTGTCATAAAAAAATAATTCTGCCTAGTTCCATTTTTACAAAACACAGAGAGATGCCCAAGCAAGGAATCAAATTATTTCTGCTAAGAATAGTTTCCACTGTAGTGTACACAAATAAATGAGTTGTTAAGCATGCTCTAGAAACGCCGTCATGATTTCTAATTCATAAGTGTGAGGATGAATATTGGGAAGCAAGTGCGATAGAATTCCCTGAAGTCTTTGACTGTGTCCCATTGAATGCAAAGACCAGCAGCTATACCATAATTAAATTCAAGAAAATCCTCCAAGTTAGTCTGAAACTGAGTCAGAAATATTTCATTTCACAGTGGTGTGGTATTAAAATCCCAGTGGAGGGGATACCAAAATTCATCAGTTAAGATAGAACTGCAGCATGTGGTGTGCTGATCTAATTGTAACATGGTCATTATTGCCACCTCATTGTGTATAACCAAAATAATACTATCAATTCTAAAGTATGATTTACAGTATGTCTGGACAACTTCTTTATCTAAAGAATGATACAAACATTGTACATCTAACATCAGACATTCTGCTACGGTTTGTTTGGCTAATTTGAAAATTCTGTTCACCACTTGTCAATGACAGCGTGAAAATGTAGGTTTATAAATGTAAGTGTTAATGTGCAGCATATTGTAGATCAGACAGCTCATGTACTAAAGGTGTCAGTCTGCCTTAGAATTTATGGTGGAAAAGAGAACATCTGACCAGATGAACAGAAATAGAAATTCTTGAATGTAAAACCAAAGCGTGCTTATGCGCTCTTTGATAATTTCTGAGGTGATGAGCATGACATTCTTGCAGGTTTAATTGATAATAAGCAAAAGATCAATAGGGTATATTTAATTTAATACTGTAGACAATTAAATACATGAAAACCTGAAGTTCCTTCATTGGTTGCTTTCCTTAAGCCAAAAACTATCTAGAATCAGGAAATGTTGTTTCAGTCCACAATTTATATATGTATTTTACTGATCCTCTGGTGAAGAGCATCTATATTTTCCTTTTCAGATGTGATGTGCTACAGAGGGTTTTTAATTACGTTTATTCTTCTAAATCAGAAATAGCTTTCAGGGAACCCACCAGGGAATAAACTAAATCAATAAATCTCAAAGCACAACTTTGGACCTGTATATGGCTTAAATACAGTAGCTGATAAATAATTAGGATGCATTTTACTTTTTTAAAATATAATATTTACACAAGGTATAAATATAAGCTGCAATTGTTCACAATATTTAATACTTCACTTATTGGTATGTTTTTGTATTATTGATAAAACATATAATTATGAATTGAGAACTGTGAAATAACATAACAGAAAACAAACTAACATACAGTACAACATAATATCCAGGGTATAATTAGATTTGCATTAAACAATGTTTGATAATATTTCACAGACGCTAAGCCTGTCTAATGGGTGGCATGCTGGTTAGCATTGCTGGCTTGCAGCACAGGGGCCCTGGGTTCAATTCCTGGGATGTTATCTGCCTTGAGCTTATATGTTCTCCCTGTGTTTATGTGGGATTCCTCCAGGTGCTCCACTTTCCTCCCACAGTACAAAGATATGCTGGTTAATTGGCTTCTGGAAAATTTGCCCTGGTGTGAGTGTCTGTGTGTGCCCTGGTACATCCCATTGAGGGTGTATCCTGTCTTGCTCCTAGAATAGGCTCCAGCTTCCCTGTGATGCTGTATTGGATAATCCTTTTAGAAAATTGATGGATGGATAGAAAATGGATGAAATATTTATTTGAGTGGAGAAGAATTGTAACACATCAACAAAAGCCACCAAATGTATTAAAATAGAATTTGGAATGAGAATCCAGAGATGTCAAAACATACAGCTGGGATACTGTACAGTATATGCATTGGTGCTTCTCTTAGTGCATCTAATACACAATGAAGGAACAGCAGTGTATACACCTGTGTAGTACTCCCAGTGGATAATTTCACATAACAAAACAAGTAACAAAATAACAAGAAAGAGAGACATTTTTTCAGTCATGTGACATCAGGGAGAAGGAGCTACATTGGAAATGGACACCCCCCTTTAGTCTGGAAGTATAGGGAGTTCAAGAAGTATTAAATGAGACCTTGGAGATCCTGACAAAGTTACACCCATCTACTTTGGATCTGTGTCTTGAACTGCATATTATAATTTTTCTCAACTCTCATGCATTCACTTTCAGTGGTCTGACACATCTTATGTTCAAGTTACATAAAAATAAGCAAAAACCATTTCATTTATTGATATTAATGTAATAATTAACACTTAAAATGAAGTGAGGTTTGTTGAAAAAAATCAAAAGATTTTAACATGTTCTTATTCACCATAAATGCTTTATATACATTTAAAATTATGAAGTGGAAAATTATCACCACATAGTAATATTATGGACTCTAAAATATCTATTAGAAAAATGGAATTTATTGCAGAATTTTACATTAAAATGTAATATGTTGGTTAAAATGTTATGAGATATAATCAATCATATCTTATCTTCTTTATAAATGTCTTCTTCTAGTTAAACTTCGTTTTCCAGTTCTTAGCTGTCATACTCTAAAGCTTGTGTTTTGTGAAAACAGGTGCAGTCTTTCCATCTTAAAAGTAAGGATATACTTTGGTGCCTGATGGCTGCTTTAGCTGTTTGAGTTACTCTGCTGCAGTGAGAAGTATTTTCTAAGCACATGTTGTTGTCAACCATGTCCGATATCCCTAATCTTCCTGAGGGAAGGAAGAGCATCTGTTTAATCAGTTTCTACTCTCCAATTAGACTGCTTGCCAAACCCGTGTATGAAACCGTCACCAGACACTCTCTTGAGCACTGCATGTGGGGAGAGGCGCTTCTGAAGACAGTTACCATAGCAACAAGGTGAGCATGAAGGTGATGAGACTCAAGCATCAGTTGCATTTCATAATCTGAAATAAAAGTGAGGATTACATAAACCGCATGTGTGTGTGTGTATGTGTGTGAGGGGTGACAATTTTCTGTTTGTTAGTTTTATTTTTGACTAGTTTACTATGGTCTTGTTTCAGACACAATATTAACAAGCTATTTAAACATTTGTGATTGAACAGTTCTTCATATGTGTGTGTGGTCTATGCAGTCTTACATCCAAAGTACCATTCACTAAAACCTCTCTACATCATATCTGGAAGCCAAGGATAATCTGTTAAAGCATGGCCACCCCTGGGAATGCAGTGATACTGGAGTTAATTGACCATAAGGAGTAAATAAAACAGATTCCAATGCCAATTACATTACATGAGCCATCATGCCTAAATTGTCTACAGCTGAGAGGAGCATGTGACCACAGGATCTCTCGGCTTTCCTAGTATTCCACAAGCCTTGCGCATGTGTCAGCTGTTACCATCCACTCCAGCTGCCAAATGATTTGTTGCGTCCTTTTCTAGTAACCACCAGAACCTGTGCTTATACTGTGAGAGGCTTTCCAGTATCGGCACATTACGAGGCAAAACAAAAATATCTCTTTCTGTTTTGTAAACATTAGAATAAGTTAGGATATAGCTAAATATGTCTAAATACAATGCATGTATCAGTTTTCCCCTTAAAATGATCAGAGGACCAGAAGCTCTGAGATGTACTCTGAAGATTTTTTTAATTTAAAAAACAAACAGAACCTGGGCTCTGTCTATCAGCCAGTGATGACCTGAATGTCTAGAGTCCCATTACACAATTGTCTGATTTCTGCCATGTTTTGGTGGGCTTGAGACCAACAAAGCTACAGTACCTATGGATTTAGTACTGCAAAAAAGTGGCAAAGGGTTTTAACAAGGGCAGAGTTCAGTGCATCAAATGCATGGTCATCACTCCCATGGGGTTAGTAAGAGAGTCGTTGTGGTAAGCCATGCTGATTAACAACTACCACAAAATACTGTACTTCAAATAAATACATCTACATTTTCTATTCAATTCTTTTCATTCCAACTTTTTTAAGATGCATACAAGCTAAGGTTTCTTTCGTGTACGGGCTGTAAATTCATTTTTTAAGCTTGCCCTCCACGTCTGCTGAATCTCACACATGTACATCAGCATATGAGGTCTTAAAAATATACTGCACCTTTCCCAGCTGCCATACCGCGAATGACAGCTCCAGTGGAAATCCAGTATATGGGTCAAGGCAATGATCCTGCTGCTTGCAAGACTGTGCATTAAAATATTTATACAACACATCTTAAGTGAAGACTTAAGGCCATGACAGCTTATGAAATGTAACCTTGCTGTTGTGGGAAACTGTGTGTACAGTACCTGCACATCCTGATGTTAAAAAAGGGTTTCCTAGTACTGTTCCAACTTCCATTCTTTGTAATAGCTATGAATACCATGTCTGGTGTAGGGTGTTAATTCCTATGAGTTTAGGACCTGCACTATTCACATTTTAACACTTGAGAAACAAGCTGTCATTACAAACAGTGATATCTTAATTCAGAAAATTAATGGAATATCTCCTTGTCCTGAAGCATTGATGAATGTTGATATCCATGTCTGACTTCTGATTTTGTGAGGTTGGCCAACACAAACCTGTATTTCGTAGT